CTCTCTGTATTATGTTGCAGCTCAGCTGATTTTGGATTGATGGCAAAGGGAGAGGGACTTAAGTGAGAGTGAAAACACAAGGTAAGTTTCAAATAGGTCAGCAATTTCCCATCCTATAGGTTGCTAGATGTATCTAACCCTTCTTCCTGTCTCCCTCTTTCAGCACAAGAACCCCAGGGGGATTCAATGGAGCCTGAAGACCTGCAATGAGACCCTCACCCTGCACCTGAGTCTCAACTCCCAGAGTTTTGCAAGCCTCTCCCTGTACCTTATTTTGATTAAACAGACGTAAATCTTCCCAATGGTGTGGTCTTCGTTTTGTGAAAAATATGATTACCTCACATATTGTATTGCTGTTGTTGTCTTTTGTGATAGTTAAATTGCTCCTGTTGACTTGAGCCAGCCATTCTTTCCTCCTCTCTGTGTCAGTGGGGAAACTTTACATGTGTACTCCTTTCTCTGAGCAATTGGAGCATCCCCAGGCAGCACAGCAAACCATGGGGGAGACGATATGCCAGGACAACACAGAGGAAAAGGCACAGACAAACTGCATGATATGCTATTCAATGTTTATTGAATTCCATTTATTTACAATGGATGTTCCTAAAACAACACATTTAACATCAACATCATGCTGCTGCTTAGTGCTTTGACTCAGTTGACAATCATTGATAGGCACCTGTGGGTCTCCTGTCCTTTCTGAAAGTCATAAAGATTATATTAGTACTTTAGATTACTTGTGTCCTCAATTACCATGGGATTACTGAAACCACCATTAAAGAAATGGTAGAAATGTATCTAATCTTGTCAGGGTTGAGTGAGGCAAGCAGGACCCAAATGCAGATAAACAGAAAATACCTTTATTTCAAGGCTAAAAGACAGAACTCTTCCCAGTGAACACAGTCCAACAACAACAAGGAACTCACAAAGACTAACAGAAAACACAGAACCTAAATGCACACAGGACTAATCAAACCAACAAGAGACAGGTGAGGAGGGAGGAGAAAACACAGGGGTACCAGGTGAACACAATCGGGTAATCAGGTAGAGGGAAAACAGACAGAAAGCGACAGGCAAGGCAGGGGGTGAAGACTTTTCAAAATAAAACATGAAACCAAAGAAAGAAAAAGACAAGACAAAACACAACACAGACAGATCGTGACTCTTATCTACACTTGCTTCTTTGACACAACATTTTAGAATATAATGGATACATATTATTATGGTTTTATTGTAAAAAGTAGAATGTTACAAACCCATATATTTTGATGCCGCTCTCCACTCTGTCTAAGACAGGCTGCAAAGTGGTGATGTTTGTAAAGCAATTGACTTGAGAATCTTGGGAAAATAACAAATGGCATATTATTAGCAAAATTAAGCTTGCTTTCTTCTCAAGATCTGCCTTCAGCAAGGTGATCTTGGGAAAAGGAATATAACTGAAGTCCTAATGTCCAAGCTAATTTTTACTGGACACATATACATTCCAAAACGGCTAAAACCGCCTTATGTAATAAAAAAATGAATGAATTATCCAAGGTTGCTTTGTCTCTACTTAATTTACCATACAAAACAATGTTTCTATCTACAGAAATGCAAACCCATGTAAAAATAAGTTGTTGAAAAACATGTGTTAGTTTTTTTAGAGAGGACGAAGACAGGATTATGATATGTAAATGTTTATCTTGACCCTGATGCTGTCCAGATCAGCTACCTGTGTGTTCTGCGCGCCGTGGGTCGGAGCGCCGGGACGCAGCCGGATCAGAAGACCAGGATCAGGCAGCTGGTCGGCAGCACCATCCTCATCTTCCTCGTCTGCTTCTCCCCCTACCACGTCTTCCTGTTGGTACGCACCATGCTGGAGCGAGACTGCAACTTCATTATAGGTACAGTTTCTTTTTTGCAAAGTAATCCAGTAACGTTTTTGCCGAAATAGACTAACTTTGGTCTGTTTTCCTATTTTTCAGGAATATTTAACTACTACCACCTGTCATTGTTGCTGACCAGTCTGAACTGTGTGGCGGACCCTGCTCTGTACTGCTTCGTGAGCGAGAGCGCCCGCCGTGGCCTGTACAGAGTCGTTTTCAGGCCTATTGGTAGGATACTGTGTTGCTGCTGCCGCTGTGGCAACGCCAGCCCCAGCAACCCCCCCACAGACTCCAACGAGGTCGCCACCGACGAGAACAACGGACATCCAACGGTGATGCTGCTCACACACACAAAGACGCCCAACAACTTAGAAAAAGAAACTTCCAGCAAAAAGACGATTTTAATCACACAGACGGGAGAAGAAACGACTATAAGCTTAGTTGTGTGATAGCCGTGAATGAGCAGAGCCAAAAGACCAAAGAGATTGAAAAGAACTCTATCTAAATCAATACTAGAGCAATCAGAGACCTTAGAGGCCGAACAGCAGCGGCCCTAATGAAAGCCTGCTGCCCACCCAAATCTGTTTACACCCCCCCAATGGCCTTGGACTGAAAGCATTTTTCTTCTTCTCTCTCTGGGGCAATTTTACTGAGCTTTGATACAACAGTATGTGAGAGCTCAACATGAATCTGACGCCCAATTTGCCTCTCTACTGGAGTTGTACTCAATTACCTTGAATGAATTGGGCATTTCCATAGCAAACCCTTAAGCTGGTACGCAGTAAAACGGCTTTACGCTGATGTTAACCTTGTGTTTCTATGGAGAGTGCGATCCCGCCCGACTAGGTGGAATAGCTATACTTGGAGTCGATACCATACAATTACCATAACGTAACTTGAAAACAAAAAGTGCCATGTGCAACCACAATAGATCAGATAACTCTAAGTTTCATTCCAGTCTAGTCCGCAGGCTCTGTAAGGGTTTGCATTTCACTTGTGCTTTGTGTGTAAAAGTGACCTGAAGTGTATCTTTAGGCAAGGTCTCATTGACAGTTGAGTAGAAAGATATCATTGTACAGTTTGTCATGCACCCTGACCAGGGTTGGACAACATTATTAATCTTGGGAAATATGTCACTGAGGCATGGATTCATGTCCAATACGTTTTTTTATCTTTCACAGAAAAGTGTCTGATGGCAGGGTCATGTGGGACTTTGGAAATGCCACAGTGTCCCGATTCAGTTCTGAGAATGGCAGCTAAACCTTAGCTTTTTATATAAATATATACGTATATGAACTATATATTAAAGTTGTCTACAAACACGACATATATCTAAGGCTACCAACCTCCTACTTCTTCCTCTTACCAACATTCATTGACATGAGACTTAAGCATGACTTTGCATTGGTGTAGGAATCTTAAGCTTTAAAGCAATACCGTGTGACTTTTTCAGCAAATATGGCCCATAATTGTCAAAAAAGGGAAAATGGAAAAAGAAGAGAGAAGAGTCCGTCAAGTCTGCAAACTGACAGGACTGTCTGTTACATAGCATAGCTAGTGTGTAACACCATTACATGGTTGTTAACATTAGCCAGCAGGTAAAGCTTTGGGAGCAGAACTACTTACTGTATGTAAATGTGCAAGAGTCTTATAAATGTTTTGTATGTGTAACTTTGTTTCTCTTTTCAGAAGTTACACAGTCTTGCTTTAACACAGTAATGTCTTTTTACTGGATTGGACTTCCCTTTTTTGTTGTTTCAGAAGACCAACGCTAACTTCAACGTTTTTATTACCATACATTTGTTTTGAACAAGTGCTCCTATAAACATTGGTCAACTTCTTCTTCTCCCTTCTAATCTGGGATCAGTGAGTCTCCTACCAGGTGGGGCTCCCGAGCCAAAATGATTGAGCGAGTGCTGGAGCAGGAGCGAGCTATCTCACAAGTCTTGGCCGCAGACAAAAAAACAAGGCATCTGGTTCTGACCTGGCAAGACCTGGAAGTAATCTAATCTCTAACCTTAACCCATTAAACAAATTATCACAAACTAATCTCCTCAACAAGTTTGACCCCGACTTCCTCCCGTAATTTACCATGAACTGCATAGCAGTGAAAAGGCAAAGAAAGCAACTCACTGGAGACCATGGACACCACTGTAAAGGCACACCTATTTCATCATAAATGTTCTGCACTCGTTTTGTGTAGTGAAGACGGAAGAACCACCACTCTAGGAACAGTTATTGCTTACAGCAGGCATCCTCAAAGTCCGGACTCCGGTCCGGATCCGGACCGAACCACCACTGTCTCTGGACTCTGAGCAAATTATACTTTTCATATGTATTATCTGTATAATCTGTATTATCTGTATTATCTGCGAGACACAACGCCTGCCACAACGCCTGCCTTATCCGTCTGCCACAACGCAACGAGTCAAAATTATCCGCTATGTCTGCAAACAGCGCTCTGGCGACACACACACACACACACACTGTTCCACTGTGTGTGTGTGTCTGTCAACGCTTTGGTCCAATCACATTCAGCAGCCCGTCAGCGTTTTTTTCCCCCACCAACAGTCTGCGAATCAGAGGCACAGGAGGGCGGGTCTTCGCGGAATGAAAATGCGTGTGTCGTCTCTTTCAACCTGTCTGAGTCAGCGCGGGAGCTTAAAAAATAAATAAAGTCAGAGCGAGAGTTGACAGCGCATCTAGTTGCATTTAGCTAGTAGTTTCAGCTGTAGCCTAGTGTAGCTAGTAAAGCTAGAAAAATGGCATGTTCAAAGATGACCAATAAAAGAAAAGTCGACAGTGAAAACCGGCAATTCAAAGATGAGTGGACTGCAAA